CATCTGGTCGCCCCTGTTGAGGGCTTCTATCTGGTTGGGTTTTTATATATTTATGTATTTTTTATGTATCTATTTTATTTTATTGTTATTTATGTATGTTTACCATTTTCATTTACAATTATATATTTATACAGCCCAACCAGATAAAACAACTTTATAGATACCCTACAATAATAATAATAATCCTTTTTATTTTCATAACCAAACAATGTAAAAACATTTATAATAATCTAAAACTAATTTCTTGCAATAAAACGTTGCTATTTATAATTACATGCAGTTTTCTTTAGTTTCATTTTTATTCAGACCTATCTAGGATTAAGGCCTCCTCTAGTTTTTTTCCGTCTTTCTCTGTACTTCGCCTCCACTATTCAATTATTTTATACTTTTACGATATTGTCGCTCTTACTTTAAGCTTTAATTTACTTTAAGTTTGTCGCACCTTCTAGTTCTCGATGGGTCACGCCAATACGTGACTACTTTGACTATTTTTCATCATGCATCCTCGCAATATGCCCAGCTTATTTCCATTTAAGCCTTGCCTGCTGTAGGGTATCTGTTATATTCGTTCTACTCCAATCATCGACATTTCATATCTTGTAAGAAGGTGTAATACTTCAAAATACTTGTCTCCGTGCCACGCTGACTAATAAAGTTTCATTTCCCGTCTAACAGCCATGAAATTAAGAGCGTGTTGGGAGAGTTTTTGTGTTCTTCTGCAGTGGGTCTTGCAGAACTTAGCTTCGACCACACGGACGGTTTTCATGAGCTTGTCATTCATATCGTCCACTGCATTGCAATCTTCTAGGCACTGAAAACGGTTTTGTAACTCGAGCTGGTAGGTTTCGGGACTTCGGATTAAAGCAAGAGGGGGACGGGGCGTTTACTTCATTAGTCGAGACCGCTCCAATTTAACGTTTAGGTTCAGTGTGCCTCTCACAATTCTGTGATCGCTACCAGTTTACACCCTCGCGATCATTGATACATCACTGAACAGTTGGCGTCTAGTCGTTATAATGAAGTCAATATCATTTTTGTCGAATTGTCGGGGCTCGACCAGGTCCCCTTTCTCTGGGGCCGCTTCTGGAAGAAAGAGTTCATCATAAAGAGTCTCTCTTTCTCCATGACGTCGGTCAGCTGCTGGCCCCTTGGAATCCGTTGCTCTATTCCGAATTTCACCCTCTTCAGCTCACCGTTTTCTCTTGTGCCTAGTTCTTCGTTGAAGTCTCACATTAACACTATATAGTGGGTTTTGGAGGAAAGCATGGCTCTAGAGATATCCTAATACATTTCCTCCACCTCCTCATCGGGATGTGCCGAGGTTGGTGCGTAAGCCTGCTTGACCTTCAACGAATACAGTTTGGTGATTCTGAGTATAAGGCACGCAACCCTCGTCGACACACTCTCGATCTTTACAACGTTGTTAACGAGAGACTTGTGGACGATAAATCCGACAACTCCTTGGGACAGATGGTCGCCCGCCCGGTGATAGAACAAGTTTCCGGGTTCGAGGATTACCGTGTCCTCCCCCTCTCTTTGGACCTCGGATAATCCTATGATATTCCAGCGCAACTTCTCTATCTCTCCTTCCAGCTCCAGGATCTTCTAGTCAGTCCCCAGGATCCATGCGTTGTATGTTGTGTTGTGTTGAGTCGTCTTAGGTGGCAAGCGCACCTTCAACGGAGATTTTCAGCACTCCCTGCCCCGCTGTTACCATGGTCGCCTGGTCGAACTGGGGGCCGTCTCTTCGTAACTTTCGTCATGGGGAGAATTTTGGCATAGTTGTAATACTTAGCAAGCAGGATGGCAACCGCAGTTTTTTTATTGTAGTATTGTTGTCATCAGGAAGACGCTGCTGCACATCTTCTGCCTGTTTCCCACTGTCGCCTCTTACGACACCCTCTGAAAGATATGGGGTAGTGGATATTCTTAACCGCCACTACACGGCATAATAATCATTATCAACTAGCTCACCATAAGAGCCAAATGATATTGTTTTTCCAAGAACTGAATAATTGCTCGCATGTAAAAATTAAATATTATAATATAGCTATAATCATTAAACAAAATTAAACATGAATCATGTCGTAAGCAATGTATGGATCTTATAATCAAGCATAGAATATTTTAAAGTGCATATAGAAAAAATTGTAAGAACCTTTAAATAATATGATTTGTTGCACTTGTTCTTATAGTGATTATAACTAATATAGGATAGATAGGATACGCTTTTAACTGGTTACGAGGCAATATTGGTGTTCACAGCAATCTAGCATTTCATTAACTTAAACCGTACCATACTAAAAAGGTCCTAATCTTCCAAAACAATACTATTTTATTTTACCAGGGTTTTACTATCTCGCTTACTTGTCAGTTCAGTCCAAGTTTTCCAATTTATTTTAGTCTAACTTTCCGATGAGCTAGAGAATATAAGCTTTGAAATCTCAGAACTGCATAACAATGCTATATAAACTCGCTTTCTTATCTGTTTGTTTGTTTTTCTGTTCGGTACAAATTTAGCAATTGATTTTAAGCTAACTTCTCGATAAATTAGAGATTTGAAACTTTATACATAGTTCAAGACACGTGTTAAATTTCTTTTACGTTTTTACACGTTTCAATTTATAATTATAATTTTTAACACTTTAATTATGTTTAAAGTTGTTTAACATTATTTCGTAAAACTGTTTTCGTATGAATTATATTGTAGAGAAACATTAACGCAATAATTATAACTTAAAAAAAACGTAAAAACCGACTTCAAGTTGCTAATAGAGAAGTTATTTTTTCTCCAATTTATCTGGAACCACCCTTGCAGTATAACCCATTAAATAAAAAAAAAATCATCAAAATTGGTTCACAATCTGCGAATATATCGCATAACATCTATACAAAAAAACATACACTCGAATTAAAACATCCTTTTTTGGAGCCAGTTAAAAATTAACAAAGTGGATGTATCGTCTTTATTCCAAAATTAAAACTACCCTCCAAAATTCTTATTATCATTAGGTATGGTATATATTGCAAATACGTTAAATCGTCATGGATTTAGAATAAGCGAATGCGATTATAAATCATGTAACGTATTATGCAAACATGATGAGGAAATAGTTCTGGAGTGGCAGCATCTTATTGATATATTTTGAGTATTAAACACCTTATATACCAATTGTCGAATTACCACTTTTCAAGTGACGCAAAAGCCATACTCGTGCTTTTGCTTTTTTCCTTTAGCAGCCCAAAAGTTCATTGATGGACGATTATATACCTAACCTAAACCTAAATACAGGAACTAACTGTACTGAAGCTAAAGAAAAAACAGAACTGTACCCAAACAGCAAATATTTGTTGATTGCAACTGATTTAATGTGAATATGTGTACGTGAGGTCTTATTGATTGTAGCTTGGTTTTTGTGTCACTTAAAATATACGCAGTGCTGCGTCATTCTTTCTTTGTTGGCTTGAGCATAGTACTAATCATTTTTAGGTTACTGTTTATTAAAACTGTTTGGTAAAATAGGTGTGTAAAATAAAAGTCAACATTTGAGAAGTATAAGTTATAATAAAATTTAATAAAGGTAAATTACAGCATATCTTAAATGAATTAGCACAGTGTTTGAAGTAGTATATACGTATTTTAGTGAGCATTATTATGTTTTTGATGAATTAGCTTACATCGTGAAATTTTATTTGAATTAAATAAAAATGTCAGTGAGCTTACAACTATCTATTGTAGGAATGTACCTCAATTCTTCCCCTTAATTAAAGTACATCCCTTGCATTGACAATGAAGATGATATTTACCCTCACATTCGTTCAAAAGTCAGTGATTATAAATAAATGGATAGAACTATTTTTGATAAGAACGTCCACATCGTATCAATTAACGACAAACGTTTGTGCGTATTGCAAATTTGTTTGGTCTAAGCTTCCTAAGTGCAGTGAAGCCTTATCTAAAATGTGTAAATTTCCCCGATTTACACATTCTACAATTAATATAGAAATTTAGTATATATACTAAATCTAAAACCCAAAATATATTCTTATTCTATACTTATGAATCCACTTTTTTGGAAAAGATCTAAAGGCTAAGTCCTCCTTACAATTTAAATAATAAAGCTTTTACGTGAAATACTTTCATATATTATCTAATGCAGCAGAAAAACTTTTTAATTCAGATTTTATCATATCTGGTTTAATTCAAAATTTAGATCACTCCCGCCATAGGAAATGGTCCCTGTAAGTAATAATATTCAGGTTCACCATCTTAGACACATTTGTAATCTTCTACATTACAGGTTTTCTAAGGCAGGAAATTAAAAAAAATAACTAGCATTCATTTAATAATAAAAATAGTAATAATAATAATAAAAACTTTCTGTTGAAGTTATACAAAGGTTTGAACTATTATTTTTAATATATTTATGAACTATTGTACTACTGATTTGCCAAAAAGCTTTCTTCTATTGCTAAATAAGCTAAATATTTAACACTATTCTCGTACTTCTATGAATAACATTGAATTTGTGGTCTACGCTTAAGATTAAAATGTGACTCAATTTGTATAATTGTGAATTTGTGTCTATCATATAATCTGTATCCATATTTTATAATATAATTTATATCATTAATTTACGAAAGAAAAAATTCACGCATTATTACTTAGAGGCACTTCGACAGTGGCTGATATTGTGGCATTATATTATAATAGTGCACAAAATTATTGCTTAAGAAGTAGCAGAAGGTCTTATTTTAAGTCTGTAAGCTTATTTTTTTAATAATATGATGACCAATTTAGTATAAACTTTGGACTGAATATCATTTTTAACCTCGAACGTCAATAATACGGACCCTTTATCATTCTTATTTCCTTGTACTATGAAGCTTAATATTTCATTAATTATAATCATTCACTCAGTTAACTCTTATTTATTTAATCCAATTTAAGTAAATCTTTTTTTGAAATTTTGTTAATCAACTTAGGTATTGATTTGTATTTACGTATCTGGAGCACGAATTTCGACGGTGATTGATGTTGGTCCCGGAGCAGTAGGTGAGCGAAGAGTCGCCGATCTTAAGGATGTGGCTGAATGCCCACTACTTGTCCGAGACCCACGCCTTGATCCTGCAAGCAGAATATAAACAAATCAAGAGTGTTATTTCGTTCTATTGAAGGTAAAATTAAAGCATGCTTTAAATTCTGTTTATAGAAATACCATGCCTTGTAAAAGCAGCGTTGTTGTGGTCAAACTTCAAACGTAATCTATCTACAAGCATTTTCAAATAACGTCTAAATCTCTATATGATCTCCAAAATTTAATTGTTTTAATTTGAGCCTAAAATCAAGCTTTATTTTTATTCAACACATTTTTTTATCAAACAGTACATCCGGAGTATTTAAATAAGGATGTAAGTGAACTGAATAATATTATGTTCTTCAGTATTGTCTTATGAACCATGCTAAAGTTTAACGCTATACTATAAACAGACTATTTCACTGCAAACAATAATTTGTATATTTTCTTAAAAGGTATCGTAAAAGAAGTTCAACTTTTAAAATTATATTATTATAAAAACAATCTAAATCTAGTTCTGATTCTATATTTTAAACGGATATATATCATTAAAGTAGATATAAGTATAAAACGACACATGTAAGGTATATCAATTCTGTTGATCTAAAAAGAAACGTTAAATTTTTACTACCATCAAAACAATACTATAATAGCTAAATTTTGTTATCAAGTGTAATGTGTCCTAAGTTAAATTCGAAAATGTGGGACATATGAGGCAAAATGAAATATTAAAGTAACCTGAGGACTTTCGATGTAGCTGATGGCTTTGGTGATGGCGTGCTGTAGGTAGATGAAATTATGTATAAATTTTAATAACAGTACAAAAAGATGTAATAATATATTATCAGACATTGAATAAGAGCAGTAATCGGGAACTGCATAAGTGCAAAATGGCAAAGTTATTTTATAAGCATAATACGCCATAATAAATATCTATTAAATATGACAAAAATTGTTAAAAAATATTTAAGTAAAAGTTTTAATTTCGTTAAAATTAATAGTACAATTTTTTTAAATGTAATTGTAGATAAATTGATTTTTATTTTGTGTCAATAAAAGTAGTGATTTAAACATTATTAATAATGAAGCCGTGAGCTCAATTGAATCATGTTGTGGATCACGTAGTTCGAGATTGTTTTGCTAATATACCTGGACTAGGCGAGTGAGGTCTTAATTCCTGCTGACTAGCTTGTCTCGATGGCGGACGCATGCTTAAACGCGAACCACGACGATCCTAAAAAATTGATTAGGTAAATATAATAAATTGTTTATTCAAAATATTTATGACATGCTTACGAATAAAATTTTTTATAATATATAGGCAGTCTTTGGTGCGCATAATGATTTATTATATTTACGTGAACATTAAATGAAACTAATTGTACGGTTTTTATTGCGTTTAATTTTAACTTTTCAATTAACGACGTTACGGCTACTTTAAAGCATCCATAGTCACGTCCGTTGATGATTGTACAACTACTGAACAACTCGACCGATTGGTAAATAGGTCATATTCACACGATATATATTTGTTTGACGAGACGATGATTCATAGCTATTATAGGACCTGATACTTAGTGCTGTAGTCAATATACAAATAAATTCTATACTAATGGACCAAAATTACTCATAACCACAGTATATTATAATTTTGGTTAGCAGCCAAAACAATTGCGAAAGAAACGTTTCTTATCCAAGTCCCCGAGAAAAATGTTTGTGAAATACATACAGACATAATGACAGACAACAAGGTAATTCCGAATTTTGACTTGAAATACTAACGATGTTGGTTAAGTGAAGTCTACGTGAGTAAAGCCACGGGAAAAAATTAGATTCGAGTATAATGTTAAAATGCCAACTTCAAGCTAGGCGAGCTTTCTGTCCCAATTAAAAAGTTTCTAATTTCCAAAACAGGAAAGTACACATATTATTCAGGATAGTCTAACCATTGTGTATTTTCCTGTTTAAATACCAGCGTAAAATAACAGCATCAAGCTTCTGTGTTTCGTTCGTTGAACAACGAAACGCGTTTACTAATAACGATAACTCTCAGGGGTGACAGCGCACCTACATTTTGATTCTTAATGCCTTAATGCCCAGAGTTACTAAGGCTAACTAACTTCAATTCCGGTATACGACAACGTGTTCAAAGAATATTTAGGTTAGACGTACACAGAAATAACACTTCCTTTTTCAACCCTGTTGTCAAAATGTACCGTGATTACGACGAGATTAGGCGTAGTAACGTGCATCTAGATATATTTGATTGTAGCCTTGTTAGATTCAAAAGAAATTTACGTGTTGCTCTTAATTTTTAATGTATTTTTTTTATCTCGCTTATTTTTGTTATTCTACTGAAGTTATATTACTATGCTGTGTACACTTTTTTTTGGATTGTAATTTAGATCAACACCATCATATTTTTAATTTTAGAACTGTATATAACTACTGTCTGTTTGTGTACCTAATAAAATAAAATAAAAAATAAATCAGAGATAAATGTAGATGTCAATAAGGATTGTATGTTCGTCACCCTTACTTCTATAGAAAAAGTTCAATTTTTCTTTATAATTTTTTTTAAATATTTGAATTATATTCAATAATACAGTGAAACACTTAGCCTTTTTGATAATTACATTTGGATTAATTTGAGTAACAAATTTACAAAATTACGGAATTACGTTTAATATTTGCACTTCAATCTTATAATATAAATGCGAAAGTAAGTCTCTCTTTCTCTCTCTTTCTCTTTCTCTCTCTTTCTCTCTCTCTCTCTCTCTCTCGCTCTCTCTATCTCTCTCTCACTCTCTCTACTTTTCTATCTTTTTCTCTCTATGTGTACGAGTTTTTCAGACGTTTTCGTGGCTATACCACTGAACCGATTATGATGAAATTGAGAAAAAGAAAGCTTAATTCTTAGGAAAGGATATACGAGTAAGCTACGTTTTTGAAATATAACCTGCAGGGAGTAAAATAAGGGGTGCATTTTGTATGCGAATCCCTTATTTTTAAAGTTGACAAAGTAAAAATGTATATATTGGCTTATGAAAATAAATAACAAAATATTTTGATTATACGCGTTTTTAGAAATCCCACTCCTAACAGGGCATAATAGAGGATGGAAGCCAGTATCATCATCATACGGTATTTTCGTAGTTTTTAAAGATTTATTGAAGATAGGACAGTAATTTGAAAAATAATATTTAAATTCTCTATCTTTTTTTATAATAAACCACACCTAAAGGTACAATTGCCGTGTAGTGGCGGTTAAGAATATCCACTACCCCATATCTTCCCGTGGGTGTCGTAAAAGGCGACAAAGGGAAACAGGCGGGAGATGGGCAGCAGCACCTTCTTGATAACAACCAACTGACAATAAAAAATAAACTGCGGTTGCCAACCCGCTCGCCAAGCGTGGCAACTATGGCAAATACCCCCCTATGAATGACAGTAACAAAGAAACGGCCCCCAGTCCCCGGCGGCCCCGCTATTCCTGGCTACGGTGGCGACCATGGTAACGGCGGGGCAGGGGGTGCTAAGAATCTCCGGTGGAGGTTCGGTTGCCACCTTAGACGACTCGACCTGGCAACGTACAACGCACGCACCCTGAGGACTGACGAGAAGATCGTGGAGCTGGAAGAAGAGATAGACAAGTTGCGCTGGCATATTATAGGATTATCCGAAGTCCGAAGAGAGGGGGAGGACACGGTAATCCTCGAATCCGGCAACTTGCTCTATCACCGGGAGGGCGACCATCTGTCCCAAGCAGGTGTCGGATTTATCGTCCACAAGTCTCTCGTTAACAACGTTGTAAAGATCGGGAGTGTGTCGACGAGGGTTGCGTACCTTATACTCAGAATCACCAAACTGTATTCGCTGAAGGTCATACAGGTTTACGCACCAACCTCGGCACACCCCGATGAGGAGGTGGAGGAAATGTATGAGGATATCTCTAGAGCCATGCATTCCTCCAAAACCCAATATACCGTGTTAATGGGAGACTTCAATGCAAAACTAGGCACAAGAGAGAACGGTGAGCTGAAAGTAGGGAAATTTGGAATAGGGCAACGGAACCCAAGGGGCCAGCAGCTGGCCGACTTCATGGAGAAAGAGGGACTCTTTATGATGAACTCTTTCTTCCAGAAGCGGCCCCACAGGAAGTGGACCTAGTCGAGCCCCGACGGTTCGACAAAAAATGAGATTGACTTCATTATGACGACCAGACGACAACTGTTCAGTGATGTCTCCGTGATCGCGAGGGTGAAAACTGGTAGCGATCACCGAATGGTTAGAGGCACACTGAACCTAAACGTTAAGTTGGAGAGGTCTCGTCTAATGAAGTCAACGCTCCGTCCCCCTCGTGCTCTAATCCAAAGTCCCGAAACCTTTCAGCTCGAGTTACAAAACCGTTTTCAGTGCCTAGAAGACTGCAATGAAGTGGACGATATGAATGACAAGCTCGTGGAAACTGTCCATGCGGTCGGAGCTAAGTTCTGCAAGACCCGCCGCAGAAGAACACAAAAACTCTCCAATAACACTCTTAATCTCATGGCTGTTAGACGGGAGAAGAAGCTACATTCTTCAACAGACTTGACAGCATACAGGCATCTGAACAGACAGATCTCCAAATGCATGCGGCGGGACTTACGCAACTTCAATACAGCTCGTATTGAAGAAGCGATCGAGCGGAACCAAGGCTCCAAAGTCTTTGCCAGAGATCTGTCTGCCAGAAAGAGCCAACTATCAAAGCTGAAGACAGAATGTGGCAGCATCGTTTCCGGGACACCTGAGATTTTGAGTGAGATTGAGAGGTTCTATGGGTAGCTGTACACGTCATCGTTAGAGCCACACGCAAGTGTGAGTAACGATCCAAGAGCGAGTCTCATCCGACACTATTCCGAAGATATCCCGGACGTCAGTCTGAGCGAGATTAGAATGGCTCTCCAGCACCTTAAAAACGGTAAGGCCCCAGGCGAGGATGGAGTTACAGCGGAGCTTCTGAAAGCGGGTGGAAAACCGGTACTTGAAGTCCTTCAGAAGCTCTTTAATTCCGTCCTCCATGGTGGCATTACACCGGAGGCGTGGAGCAGAAGTGCGGTGGTCTTGTTCTTCAAGAAAGGTGACAACGCTCTCTTGAAGAACTATAGACCGATTTCCCTTCTGAGCCGCGTCTACGTGCTGTTTTCGAGAGTCATTACGAATCGTCTCGCGCGCAGACTTGACGACTTCCAGCCTCCCGAACAAGCCGGTTTCCGAAAGGGCTTTAGCACCATAGACCACATACATACCCTTCGGCAAGTTATACAGAAGTCCGAAGAGTACAATTTGCCACTATGTCTGGCGTATGTGGACTATGAGAAAGCTTTTGGTTCCGTCGAAATTTGGGCGGTGCTGCAGTCCCTTCAGCGGTGCCTAGTTGACTGTCGGTATATCGAAGTGTTGAAGTGCTTGTACAGTAGGGCTACGATGGCTATCCGAGTACAGAACCAGAGTACGAAACCTATCCAATTGCAGAGAGGTGTAAGACAGGGTGACGTCATATCCCCGAAACTCTTCACCGCTGCATTGGAAGACGTTTTCAAGCTTCTGGACTGGAAAGGATACGGTATCAACGTCAATGGCGAGTACATCACTCACCTTCGATTTGCCGACGATATAGTCGTTATGGCAGAATCGCTGGAGGACCTAAGCACTATGCTCAATGACCTCAATAGTGTTTCCCAACGGATAGGTCTTAAGATGAACATGGACAAAACTAAGATCATGTTTAATGTCCATGTCACACCTATGCCGGTAGTTGTTGGGAACACTAAGCTCGAAGTTGTTGACGAGTATGTTTACCTGGGACAAATAGTCCGACTGGGTAAGTCCAACTTCGACCGAGAGGTCAATCGACGGATTCAACTCGGTTGGGCAGCGTTCGGGAAATTACGGCACATCTTCTCGTCAGGTATACCTCAAACCTTGAAAACGAGACTGTACACCCAGTGCGTGTTGCCAGTAATGACATACAGAACTGAGACGTGGTCCTTCACTGCTGGCCGGATGAGGAAGCTCAAGGTCGCTCAGCGAGCTATGGAGAGGGCTATGCTCGGAGTTTCTCTGCGTGATAAACTTAGGAATGAGGATATCCGCAGTAGAACCAGAGTAACCGACATAGCCCAACGGATTAGTAAGCTGAAGTGGCAATGGGCCGGCCATATAGCTCGAAGAACCGACAACCGATGGGGAAGAAAGGTTCTCGAGTGGCAGCCTCGTACCGGTAGGCGAAGTGTAGGGCGTCCCCCCACGAGATGGAGTGACGACCTGGTAAGACATGCAGGAAGTCGATGGATGCAGGTGGCTCAGGACCGTGCTTTGTGGCATTCTTTGGGGGAGGCCTATGTTCAGCAGTGGACTTGTGAAGGGCTGTAATGATGATGATGATGATGAAAGGTACAATGTAACTTAGGTGGCACGATACTAATCAGAAGATCATAGGGGTGAGAAGGGCCATACCTTCCCTCCCCTATGATGGGTATTCTACCCATCATAGGGGAGGGAATTGAATGAGATGAAATTATTTTTTATTCAATACAGATTGCATGTACTTTTTATTTAAAGTATTTTTTTACTTTAGCGCTGGTTCGGAAAAACCTCTGTCTTGGGAAGAACTAGCAAGAAACCCAGCGGGTCTTTTTTAAAGTAAATTATGAAAGGTTTCAAACTATTTCCAGCTTGTTCCCTGTGGTTATTTATCAACCAAGTATTCATTTATATTATAATGACCGTTTTTATACAGTTTGGTTCAATAAAATATTTAAACTTGGTAATACTGAGAACCCTTGTATGTTTTCTGGCACTTTGTTGTAATAGCGTATACAATGCCTCAAAAATGTATTACTGACTCTTTGAAGTCGAGAAACTGGTATCACCAGCTTGTTTTTGTTCTTAGTGTTTACATAGTGTATATATCTTTTTTACTAAAACTATAAATATTAATGTATGTTCTTAAAACAAATTTTTTTGAACATACATTAATATTTCTTAAATACTGAGAGTCCAAAGTTAACATACTTATTTCTATATAATTAATAGAATCAGGCGTTACTTTGCGGAAATCCAAACTACTGGGATTAGTGGTGACGGGGATAGTGCACGCAATTGAGGGAGGGCGGGAGGTGCTTCTTCATACTAGGTAAGACACATCATTTTATTTTATAACGCGGATATTTGCGAAGTAAATTTTTGTAAAAGCTTTTATACTTATTTCTTTTAAATTTTCTGTGATAATCTCTCATGATATCAGGTTGTAAATAGCTCTAATGACCCCCTTCTGCAACACAAAAATAGTTTCTTAATAAGCCGCAATTCCTCATAGCAATATCACATAGACATTATGCTATGGAAAAAACTTTTTACAGCATAAGCTGCAAATGTTATTTTGCTTGCTAGTTTAGATATATGGGGGCCCCATTGAAGCTTTGCGTCAAGTGTGATGCCAAGAAAAATAGTGGATTCAACAGAGCTCAGTTCGTCCCGATTTAAAACCATTTAGAGTTGAACCAATGCACTAATTTTGATAGTAACTAATAAACGACTCCGTGGTGCAGTGGCTTGGCAATGAGTTGCCGCGCTGGGGGCCGCAGATTCGAATCCCGCACGGAACAAGAATTTGTATGGCCTACAAATAATTTTTCCGGGTCTGGATGTTTGTCTTTGTGCAATTTTTGTTTGTAAACTGCCTCTGCGATACAGGAAAACATCTTAGTGTGGGGGTAAGGCTTTTTTTAAATCAATAAAATAATAAAAACAATAAAAAAATTTAGTGATAGCACTAGTCTTATGTCTGCTCGGTCATTTTAAATGCCACTCTGTACTAGTTGATTTCGGACAGTGAACTAGTTCATTCTATCAGTTCTACGAGCTCTATTCGGTTATCAGCACCACTAATCGGTTTAAACTGTATCTATCTTTATGGAATAGTTATCTAAATCTGTCAGTCTCAGTTGATCTATATCTGCTCAAGTCATAATTTTGCATGATAACAATTATTAATATAAAAATTTCTTATACTTACGCTAGCACTACACATTAAATGAAACTAATTTTACGGATTTTATCGCGTTTAGTTTTAACTTTTTAATTCCCGACGTTTCGGGTACTTTGCAGCACCCATGGTCAAGGGGGGGACATTGACATTCATCATTACAGCCCATCTCATGTTCACTGCTGAACATAGGCCTCCCGCAATAATGCCACAAAATACTTCTTGAAACTCTACCACATGTGTCCTATAAACATCCAGCATGTCTTATCAGGTCATAACTAATATTATAGTGGGTAGAACTTTCGTTTATTGGTACAAGACTGCTACTCAAGAAGCTTTCTTCCCTTCGGAAGTCAGTTCTTCGAGCTATATGACCAGCCCATTGCTACTTCAACTTACTGATTTGATTGACTATGTCGGTAACTCTGATTCTACTGCAAATATCTTCATTACGAAGTTCATTACGCAGACAAACTTTTAGCATAATCCTCTTGTGAGTGATTAAGGCTTCCTCATAAGGCATTTAGTGAAAAACTACGTCTTAGATCATCATTGGTAACACGCAATGGTGACGTTGGTACGGGATGAGAAGATGTTGTGTCTTAATATGAACCCCACAACTAGAGCGCTCTACCCAGCCAATTGATCTCTCGGTCGAAGTTGGACTAACCAATTGGGCCACTATGTACAACGAGTGAGGCTAATTTCAGTACAAAAAGAAGAAGGAATACGTACTTGTCAACGACTTCGAGAATAGCGTTCCCAGAAACTTTTTATTATATTAGAGGGGTCAAATTATCAGCGTTTACCGCTGCCTTTGAACAAGTACAACACCTGTGGAATTGCAGCTGCATTTCCAGCCTTTAGAATCCCTTTGAGTACTCCCCGTGGTAAATGCGATAAAATACGCAAAAAGATTATCTTCGCAGCGCCAGTGAGTCAAGCCGATCAGAAAGAGCTCGGTCGCCGACGATTCAAACCGCTCTGCGCTAGATGCGATCAAGTGGAAGGAGCTGGCTAAAAAAGTTGCAAGCTATGTGCGGGCATGAAATACTGCCCCGCTTTACGAAGCACGCCAAGCTTCTGAGTGGCCAATTTAGCCTTCCCTTCCAAGTTACCGCGAAACTGAACGTCATTTGATATGTCAACGCCGATAATTACGATGCTAGCTGAGACAAAGAGAGTGCCTTGAAACAAAATAGAGATGGGATAGAGCGGTTCGTTTTAACGGTAAACGCACAAACTTGCGTCTTTTTAGGATTTGAACTGGACTAGATTTAGTCGGCCCCAATCCGACAAAGACTTGACTTCAGACACACATTTATTCCAGCACTCAACGACGTGTTTCCGAAAAATATTAGCACGGCCGGCGTTAAAGGAATCGCCAATGGTATCATCTGCATAACATTGAATGTTACTGGTTTATAACATATCTTTGATACGCAGAAGGAACAGGGTAGGCGATAGCACACGTAGTCTTTTGAAACACCAGCATTCACAGGCTTGGAGTCGGAGCATGCACCGTCGAGTACGAACTTAATGCTCCGATCTAAGAGAAAACTGTTGATTCAATTGCATAATATCTCAGGAAGCCCATAAGGTGGAACCTTCAAAAGAAGCGCTTTGTGCCAAATCCTAAGATTAAGAGAAGACTCTCTTATTTTCGAGAACAAGGAAATTATGGCGTTAGGCCTGTAGTTAGAAGGTTCTGAGCGACCACAAACTTAAGACTACGCCTAAGAAGTAGGAGTGCCAAAAAAAAGTGTAAGAACCGCTACCAACTCAGAAGCACACGTCCTCAGCACAATTGGAGGGATTCCATCAGGCCCACTTGACTTGTGGATGTCCAGGGAGAAAGGGCTTTGCGTACTAAGCACTGTGTGAATTGCGCATCAGGATAGAGCACTCGCACCGCGGAAAGGTCGGTGGTGTAGTCCTCCTTCATCGAAAGTTGAACTGATGCTACAAAGGAGGCTAAAGTTCGGCTTTCATTTTTGCGGCGTAGCCAGTGAGTCGTCCTCACTGTATATAGATGGAAGTGATGGGTTACAGAAATTCCCTTGGACAGCCGTGCCGAGAGACCCGAACCCGTTCATTCTGGTTGTGCAGACTAGATTACACGAGTTCCTGAAGGAAGGCGAACTAATTTCTTGCCATTTTCGCCGATGCGCTCATGCCTCAGCAACAACTCTTTTGAAGGACATAGACGTGTGGAGATATACTTATTTTTAAGGCTAACGCTTTGGTGGCCTGAGATGTAAACATCAGCTTAGTCAGCCCAGGCCTAAAAACACTCCCGCTTACTGCGTAATGCAGTCTTACAGGAGCGATCAAAACTAGGCTAAGGTCTGTCTCCGTGTACCCATGGACCACAGATAATGGAATAAACAGTTGCATTCCCTGAAGCACCACATCAGTGACAGAATCAGCAATAGAGCTGGAATCATTCGGCAAGAAGCAAACACGCCCCTATCTGTAGAATGCAAAGAAAGGCCGCTTTCTGTCCTAATCCGCCAACCTGTAATGAAAAACACGGCGGCAGCATGAGTGGCACCACCTCTGGATTAGACAATGTCCCGAAGATCCGAGAGGAACGTTGATGGAAACCTGATAACTGATAGAACAGCAAAAGGTCCAACAAGGAAGGTGTATGATCCTCCACATCTGTAATTAGCGTAGACGAAGCAACCAATTCTATCAGATCATATGCAAAGGCAAATTCATAAACAGATCTCCCCACATAATCGGTTAAACGTGAACAGAGTCATTCGGCATGGTGGGCGTTAAAATCGCCAAGGGTTACAATTTTTGCGGGTGGAATCTGTTGCAGCATGGAACCTGTAGTTATTTGGATGTGGTACGTGCTTAGTTGACATTGAGGTTACACAACCTTAGAACATGACACCTTTGTCTTGTCTATGATCATCTTAATATCCGTCCGTTGGAAAACACTATTAAGTTATATGTATAGTGCTAAGAACATGGCAGTTAACATCTTAGCACGTAACAAGATATAAAATTCAAAGGAGTGGTTAGCATTAACACCTTTATTTATTATTACTTTACCTGTGTATGAATTAGTTTGGAATCACGCAATAGGGAAACGTTCATCAGCCGGGGATTGGGTGTGTTAAATATGGTTCGGTTCTCCCTCCATCGAGCCCTGAAAGTATTTTAAAACTTCTTAATTATGTATATCTGAAATTATTTAACTTCTACTTATTTAAAATTTGTACAAAAAGTATATGCTTAAAATTTAATTTTGTCATTTCTGATTATTGCACTATTATTGCAGCTAAGATCTCAGATCTAGATCAAAGACTGCAATAAAGGAACGTACTTTGATATTGTGCCATATATTGGACGGGCTGGCAAACATACGATATAATATTTTTTTTATAGAAGAGGGGGCAAATGAGCATGCGGCTCACCTGATGGTAAGTGACTACCGCCGCCCATTAACAACCGCAACACCATGGGAATTGCAGATGCGTTGCCGGCCTTTTAGAAAGGTATAAGTTCTTTTCTTGTAGGTCCCTAAGTCGTATCGGTCCGGAAAATTCGCCGGTGGTAAACAATTCCACAGAGAAGTTGTACGAGGAAGCAAACTCCTAGTAAAACGTACAGTCGTGGACCGCCAAGCATCCAGATGGTGAGAATGGTATCGTGAATTTTGACGCGATGTGCGTTAGTGAAATTTGGCGGCTGGAATTAATCCGAACAATTCCTCAGAGCATTCACCGTGGTAGATGCGAAAGAAAATGCAAAGAGATGCAATATCTCTTCGCAGCGCCAATGAGTCGAGCCGATCGGAAAGGACTCGGTCGTCGACAATTCGAGCTGCTCTGCGCTGGATGCAGTCGAGTGGAAGGAGCTGGCACTGAGATGCCTCGGCCCAGAGATGACAACTGTATTCCATGTGAGGCTGGATTTGCGCTTTGTAAAGTTGCAAGCGTTGTGCCGGCATGAAACACTGTCTCGCTCTGCTGAGCATGCCAAGCTTTTTTGAGGCTAATTTGGCCTTCCCTTCCAAGTGACCACGAAACTGCACACTATTTGATATGTCGACGCCGAGGATTCCGATGCAGGCTGAGGCAGCAAGGGGAGTGCCTTGAAACTGAGGAAATACGACAAAGGGGTTCTTTTTAGCAGTATACGCGCAAACTTGTGTCTTCTGGGGATTGAACTGGACTAGATTTAGTCGCCCCCAATCCGAGACTTTGTTCAGCAAAGACTCTACTTTAGACACAAATTTGTCCTGGTACTCGGTGACGTTTTACCGAGAAATATTGGCACGACCGGTATATAAGGCATCACCAGTGCTGTCATCTGCATAGCAATGAATGTTACCAGTTTGCAACATATTATTGATATGCAGGAGAAACAGCGTTGATGATAGCACGCAGCCTTGTGGAACACCAGCGTTGATAGGATTAAAATCAGAGCATGCACCGTCTACTACAACCTTGATGCTCCGATTAGCAAGGAAACTGGTGATCCATTTGCACAAATTCTCGGGAAGCCCATAGGAAGGAAGCTTCGAAAGAAGCGCTTTGTGCCAGACCCGATCGAAGGCCTTCGCTATGTCCAAACTAAAGGCCAATGCCTCCCCATTGGACTCTATAATATTTTCTCCAATACTTTTTTCAAAGCTGCAATAGTCTTTATCAATCATTTCGTATATTAAAGACACTTGCCTGCTAAAAAGCCTGAGGACGACGCAAATGATCACAAACATCAGAGCCATGCCAACCAAAACGCCAATCATTGCTGGATCGAGTGTCTGTGTAGATTCTTCCACGTGCTTTTGAGCTATAAAAATAATTAATACAGTTATATTATCTACTACTAAAAGTATCAAAATCAAAAGTAAAGTAAAACTACAGCCTATTTACGCAGGGCTCCTCCAGTTTCCGGGAGGTTTATTGAGTGATAAGTTCAACTGTCTGTTCAATCACCAAAAGCGATGTATTTCAGGCATTGCATCAAATATCTCGGCTAATGCAGATGCAAAAGCCTATATACCACTTTACAGATAACGAGTCACCGCAAACCGCACATAAACTCGAAATACGAGCATTCCTCAGTCATGAAGGTGCTCGTTTTTTAAGAGTAACAAACAAGCACACAGTCCGCTTTGATTCACATTTTCAATTATGAATTCGGGTACAATGTTGCAGTGATGCTTCGTTTCCAGTAAAAAAGATTTCTAGTTCTCTAAACATCTCTCTATCGCTCACTATACAAAAAGCAGCAGCATTCAGCTGATATTTCACGTTGGTATTCTGTGAGAGCGTAGTCTTTCCCCGGTCGAACCGACATATAAGTGCTTCAACTATAACGATATAATCATAAATTCAGACTTTGCCTTAACTACTTCCTTCTCATTAAAGGAGCAATATTTAAAAGCAGTGATTAAATTGACAGTGATTAAAACATTACTTACATTTGCAAATAATTTCACCGGTCGCAGTAACTTCGGGGACCATCTCGTACATGCAGACACAACGTTCATTCCTACAAGTGGTCTTGATCACAGTAGCTTCGCATTGCTGGTTAAACATGCACGACTCGTTTATGCCGGCAGCTGAAAAATTAAATGAGAAATATCAATAAAAATGTTTTCCTTTTAAAAATATATATTATATGAATATCGAAAATAAAATAATATAAATAGCATATTAATGCTGATGTGATTCGTATGATGAGTTTAGAAAACTTTTTTTTACTGGAAATGAAGCATTCCACCATAGTCCTCAGAAGTGACAACACATCTGCAATTTAATTCTTAATCGAGGACTGAATTCTTATTGAAATAGTATAAGTAGTGTCTTAGTACTAACATGGTCATTAAATATTTATGGAGTATTATATTGTCTGAATTATTATATAATTAATTTTCTAGGTGGTGCTACTCATACGTGCTCTTACACAGTAAAGGAGTTACTGTCTCAGATTGCATCTCAGTAGCTAACACCACCCTTCCCCCCTTAATATGATCCGATCTGAAGGGCACAGGGAGCCAGTATAATTTCAGTTTGCATACTATCTTAGTCCTTAGTTGTTTAGGTACTTAGGGGTAGGGGTTACTGCAGGTGTCACTTATATCCAGATAGACTGTAAGTACGTTTGTAACGTTAGTTTTATAAACAAAGCATGGCGTAAGTAGCCTAATCGCAGGGCGCGGACTGCGAACTCGAAAGGTCGTGGGTTCAAATCCGCCATTCGACTACTGTCGTGAACCACTTCTAACACAAGCATTTTAAGCTTACCAGAAGTGATTAAAGGGATTATTTGTAATGTTTAATAGCATTACTAGTATTTATTTTAAATTAAAAAAAAACCACCATTCGAAAAAAATTACTGAATTATTCCCGATTGTGAATCGCCTTTAAAGAGATATGCAATTTTTGTTAGAAAAAACTAATTAAAGTAATACACAAACTCCAAGTTAGCAGTTTTTCACAAAGAAAAAAGTATGTGATAAGATATGTTTTCCGAACGAGATGTAGAGAATTTCTCATTTCGTGTAAAATCAAGGGGTGTTTCAAAATTCTTTTCACATTTTCTGCGCACAATTTCCCAAGCGCTGTAACATTACAAACTACGAACCTCTTGTAAATAAATTATGAGATTCTTTGAGTATAAGGATTTCTCACGTACAGAAAAAATGCGAAACTGTACGAAAGCTGTAGTAAGAATAAATGCGGTAGTAAAAATAAATACGATAGTAAGACTTTTTTAATGTTACGATAGGAGATTTTAAAAAGAAAAAAACATTTTACTAACTTATTATAAGTCAGTGCTTGACCACAATCCCACCTGGTGGTAAGTAGTGATGTAGCTTTAAATGATAAATCGCACTGTCTTTTGTCTGAAAACAGAATTATTCTGACGGAAAGATAGACGCCGGTAAATTATTCCACTCCTTTGCTATACGCATTACAAAAGACGAAGCAAACCGTTTAGTTCTTATACGTGAAATAACAACAAAGAGGTGAAGACCCCGCTGACCGCCCGGTTGTTCGATGGTGGAAAGGAGAGGGAGGAATTAAAGCTTATAATTCCTGTGCACACTCACCAAAATGTATCGTATAGAATACCGAGAGGCTGGCTAATCTGCGACTGTGCTCGAGGTTGAAAAGATTGATTTCAATCTAATCAAGGTTACCAATAAGCCTCTTAGCACGTCTCTCCACTGACTCTAGTGCTGCCAGGTGGCATTTTGCAACACTAGCCCATATATGACAACATTACTCCATGCACAATCGGACTTGCGCTTTATATAAGGTGAGAAGCTATCCCGGCGTGAAGTATCACCACACCCTTGCAAGGACACATAGTTTCCTTGCGGCTGATTAAACCCTGGACTCAATGAACCGCCCATAATTAAGGTTTGGAGAAAATTCAACCCTTAATAACTGATGGCGGTCAGTGTACTCCAAAGATACATTCCCGAAAGTAGGAGCGGCCTCCCTTTAGATGTGAACAGACACGCTTATGTTTTGGAGGCGTTGAATTTCACATTTGAAATTGAAATTGAATTGGCACTGCACCACTCGGAGACTGCCTGTGGTGAGATATTTGGACGCTCAACCATAGTTTCTCTTTCGGACTGGATTTGATCCCGACTGATCCCAAACGTTTGGCTGGTACCTCAACACAACTGTGCTGTCACCTGCATACTCATAGATAACAGGAATAAGTAGATCATTAATATGCAACAGGAAAAAGTTACGGAGAGAACGAACCACTGAGGAACTCCGGTCTTTGTCGCGATAGGACTCTACGAGCTGCCATCGATGATTACTCGTACTAAGAAACTCCTTTAAAAAAAAACTCCTCAATCACCCCAAAGGATAAGCCGTAAGCTGAAAGCGTGCCCAATAGACTAGCGTGCCAAACCCTGTCAAAGGCCTTGAGAGACATCAAGGGAAACAGTAAGTGCTTCCCCAAAATTCTCGAGGCCTTCGCCCCTTATTTGATTGGCATACGCTAGAAGGTCCTCTGTTGATCGATTTCAGTGATACCCGTACTAGACGTCACTAAGGAGATCATTTTGCTCCAGGTATGCAATGAGGTTGGCGTTCAATAAACGTTCCATAATCTTGCAGCATATGGAGGTAATTGAAATTGGCCTATAGTTGGCACGCCCAATACGGCTGTCTTTTTTAAGCACAGGCATTGGCTAGCTTCCAAGATTTAGACACTTTTCCATTCCTGAATGAGAGCTGGAATAAGCGCATGAACACAGGAGACAACTCAGTGTTTAAGACCTTATGGTATGGGAATAGCAAGTCCTGATGACAGGCATTACAGTGCCCCAGAAAACCACTTCTGCGGTGGGGTACCTATTAAGAGCCACATCATAGCCTTTACTGAGGTGTTCTAATAGCCTGGTTGTCTCCTGTGGTCACCATAGTGCGATCGGAAGACACAAGAATAAATAAATTTATTCATTCCTGTGTCAAAAATTGGTTTCACCTAATATCATACCGGAACACGACTTGCGTCATTTTGCGGTAGTCTTTGCCAGGTGGGTGATAACTAACCCTCGGCCGGGCCTCTCACTAGTAGAGGACCTACCATGAGTAAATTACAGGCAATGTTGCAAATAAAATGAACTAACAGTCCACTCGATAGTGGTTAATGGCTACTGTAGGTAATAGGATCTGCAGTAGTAGAATGAGAATAGAATAAAACACCATGATAATAATTATAGATGACTTGCTAAAGCAGTGGATAAGCCTATGTCTGCGGTTACTGCTTAGCCTTAGGTTCCAATTCCACACGGAACAAGTGTTTGTATGGTCTATAAAAATTGTTCCAGGTCTCAATATTTACCCACGTACAATTTATGTGCATAAAACTCTTCCACGATACAGGTGAAAATCTTAGCTTGAGCGAATGTTGTTTTACAAAATAAATTGCTACGTCGCCAAAAGGAACTAAGATAAAATGCCTCATAAATAGCATTATACTCGCTTTCAATGAAGGGAAGTAGATAGCAAACGCCACGAAGTATATTTATGACGGCCCGGCTTAAAACAATGATCATTTATTTGTTTCTGTTGTGGATGGAGTATATTTATATAGCTTGGAGATTTAATGATACTTAATTGATATTTAAGGGCAATGAAAACGTAGCAACTTATCAATACAGAAGAAACGAATATACTTTGAGTTTAATTAAATCAATTAAAATTAATATTATGGTGATCAACAGATTATAAGGTGTTTTACAAGAAATAAATTCAGTGGCGCTGCGATCCACAATTTGTTTTACTATATAAAGTATTTATTCATTTTATCCATATCTAAATATTTAAACAAACGTCTGTTCAAGTAATGTATAAGTTTAAGTATGACGGTAGGATAAGTAAATAAATAAAATTGAAACAAGTGTGATGCGGGAAGTAAAGACTGTGTAAGAACCTTTTTTTTTTTTTTTTTTTTTTTTTTTATAGGATAAGGGTGACAAACGAGCACACAGTCCACCTGATGGTAAGTGGTTGCTGCGGCCCATAGACATCTACATCTATCCTCGTTTGCGAATCAAAATGCAGATGCGTTGCCACCCGTGAGGACTAAGATGGAATGCCTCATTTCCAGTAAAAAGGGCCTCCGGCCACCTGCACTCACCAAGCGAAACGCAGAGGTAAACCTCTACTTCACGCTGGTATTCTGTGAGGTCGTGGTACCACCCCGGTTCGAGCCGGCCCATCCGTGCGACAGCAAAAGCTGCCGCGTGGCTCTACCACTGTAGATTAAAGAAAAGATTTTAATTTTTTGGTTTTTAGTGTTTAGCAGTGTAATGAGAACTTTTGCCCCTATTCAACCATGACCCCCATGACATCCTCTAGATGATTGGCTATTCAAACTGACTAGGCTTAAAGTTCGAGTCACCCCCTAACTAATTTCTTGTCTTCCAATAATAAACACGTTCGGCATCAGTTAAGTGTAAATTATCGTGAATTAATGTCTTAAATTGTTGATAAGACATGGACCATTGGGGTATGTCACCGTTTATTGACATTAATCGAATTAGCGTTAGCGAAGTTTTTACTTCCAAAATTAATATTCATAAAAACGTCATTAATCTAGTTATATTCTAATTAATGTCATTTAAATTGAAGAAATTCTTGAATAAAATAAAGAGCTTTGTCAGCAAAATTTTTTTGTAGTTTCCTTTTAAAACCATTCATTTCTTGGTGGCATCGTATGACTTCGGGCAATTATTTACTGTAGAACTTTAAAATAAATAAAAAGAACCTAAAAAACGATAAAAGCAAGCATCAATACGTTGTCACACTGTCTAAAACTATTTTTATCTGCACCAACAAATCAAAATTTTCTTCGAGAGATTTACTAGAGGATTCTTAGTGACGTGTTTTCGGACGAAATATATATGTGTACACACTACACTTTAGGTTAGTGGAATCTTGGAGAACCTATTTACGAAAGCCAAATATAAACATTAAAGTGAAATTCTGAAGACGATCTAATTTATTTGATTAGTCCTCTAGGTTAGCTAAATCATTAATGAAAATTATTATTGGAATTATTGTGTAATGTGTGTGTGATTATTTTTTATTATATATCATGCGTTCGGCATTCTAAGAAAACATCAAGAGTATAAATAAGCTGTATATCTGACAACTATAGTCCGCCAACACACACTAAACTAGCTCTCTACTAAAGCAGATCAACTGTAACAGAACCCTGACTAAAATATAATTTAGAAAGGAAATATTAAAACTTAAGCGCTGGAAATATTTAAATTCATAAAATATTTTTAGCTATCCTCTTAATTGACTCTTACAGCACCCATGGGACGATTTTGGTTTTTTTTTTATTGGACCGGGTGACCCATAGACATCTACATCTATCCCCAATAAAGACTCAAAATGCAGATGCGTTGTCACCCGTGAGTACTAAGATGGAATGCCTCTTCGCCAGTAAAAAGGGTCTCCGGTTCTCTAAACTCACCATACGAAACACAGCAGCGTTAAGCTGCTATTTTACGCTGGTTTTCTGTGAGAGCGTGGTCCTTCCCCGGTCGAGCCGACCCATTCGTGCTACAACCATAATATAGCTGCAGCATGGCTCTACCACGTAAACTTGTGTGACGGACCTGTGGGTGACGGAATCTCTTCCACCAGCACCAGAAAATATGTATTGGTAAGTTAGCAGATAATTTAATGAAACTAGGTTTTCTCAAGCTAGTGTAATGATAAAATATGTTACAAAATATGTAAAAAATATAATTATGGTGTAGACAAAGGCAAGTTTTGTATAATTACACCTGCATACTGCATATAATTATATGACAGGAAAAAAGCGCTATTGCGTAGAAGACGACACGCGAGGCGCAACTTTAAAGGTGCATCGATCGTTCCCAAGCTTACCTGTTAGAACTAAAAAGTAGCGCGATACGAATGTTTGTATATATTATTTTCCTTATGGTTCCTTTCCCATGAAATTAAAATAATTACCAATTGTATTACCATACCTCATAAATATAAGTGCAAGTTAAATGTTCGCATGACATTTTCATTTTGTACTGTGCAAAATATAAATTTTAGAAACGAGAAAATAAAAGGAAAATACGTTTGAAAAGTACGTTCTATTCATTATTCATGTAACATTTCAATATATTATATATAAAATATTTCACCACATATAGAATATAATATATATACATATAATATTTTGACCACAAAACACGGTAGAGACATGTTGCAGCTATATTATGGTTGTAGCACGAAAGGGTCTGCTTGACCGAGGAAAGAACACTCTCTCACAGAATACCAACGTAAAATGGCAGTATAAATGTATATGTATATGGGCCACAGCATCCGCTTATCATCAGATGGACTGTGTGTTCGTTTATCACTCTTATTCTATAAAAATAAAACATTGGAGAAAAATAGACTGTTTAAAAATTAACAGTATATCTCCAGAGCAATATTGTGCACTTGAAGACCAAAAGCTTTTAAAGAATTCAAAAGTTCAGTAATTGATGCTTAGGATACCACATCTCTCGCAACTGCTCTTTAAGATTTCCAGCTCACTATACCACGTACTAAAGTATTCATGCTAGCATTTTTAATTAAAATTTTAATTGGAAGCCATATTTAAAAAAAAATAAGAAAGTTTAATCTCATAAAACTACACTAAATAAAAAAATATCACAACATTATTTCTCTACAAATTACGAGAAAGTTAATTTCGATTGACAAAATCTGCATCTGGTAAACTAGAAAGCTAGTTAACGTGAAGTTTATTGCCGATCTTTTCAATCTAATAAATTTTAATATATAATATAAATAAATTGTTTGCTGCGTTGGAAAATCTCATGAAAGAGGGTATACACGTCAGCAAAGATACGATAAGGCAGCTAAGACAAATATCCAGTGTCTTAGTACAATGCTTAAGCCCATTGTCTTAAAATTCTAAGAAAATCGGATAGAAGTTTTAACCTTATCCAATGAAGTATCATTTTGGGCACGGTCTTCTATCTAAAGAGCTTATTGTTGTAATCACTTGATTTGAATCTCATTCTCACTTACATCACTTTACACGGTAAATTAAAAATGATATAAGCTGTGTTATTTATAAATTATAATATGACATATTATATGATGTTGTGCTATAACTAGCCCTTGATTAGAACTAAAATATTATATAAATTATTGAAAAGATTTTTTTCCATTTTTGCCATTTCACATCTCAGTAAATAGATTTCATGCCGCAATATGAGAACTGCTGATGTCATGTATGTGCCTTGCTAGCTTCGATAAATGTAATTGAAGGTTCTTTGATTTTTATAGCAAGAAATATCATTTTTCTGCTACTAAAACTGGTTGTTACACATTTGGCAGACTGCCTAAATGGGTGGACAAATATTATTCTACATCCATTAGTTATGCCCACAATGATATCATATAGGAAGTAAGCCGTGGTGTGTTGATAGATGTGCTTTTCCTATAATTGATATACAATCCGCAGTAGCAACAAATCAGTTACATCATCTTGTGACCTCCGTACACTGCATGTGGAAATATATACATTATTAAACTTAAAAAAAAAACTGTCACCGACCTAAGAAGCTAAAAATTATGTACATTTTATTTTACTGTTAGCTGTTGTGTTGCTGTGTTAAGTTTTCGAAATTCACACAAAGAAACAACCACATCATCAGCATTCTCGCTTTCGATCACTAAACCAACGAGGCTGCCAATCGTCTTGACTATTCTCACCACGCTGGTCAATGCGGAGAAGATACAGGCATGGATAATGCTACTCCTTAATTTTCTTCTCTTTTTCATTAGCCCGTAAGATACCGCAGCTGGTCATGAGCCTCTTCCGTTTTAGGAATAATTTGATTTAATCGTTATGCTTGGCGGTGACGTTCGCAGTACAAGACGTCTCACATCCTTGACGCTGCTGCCGGTCATCAGAACCGCGATATCCAGAGGTGTGTTCGTAATTTAGTATAATGAATTGTTTGTATAATAGCGTACTATAGTACTACCTACTACTAGTAGGTAACCTCAGTTTTTCAGGATATTTATAAAATTAAACATATGTATTCAGGTATTACTTAATATATTTAAAAAATGGTCGCGGGATTCTCTCAAGTCAGAAACAATATGATATCGTGTTTCAAAATATGAATGTTGAAATTTTAAGCATCCATTCAATGGAGTAGATTACATGGGGCCAAAAAATATAAGAGGATCTTAAAATAGGGGACATAAGTCATATAAATGATACATTTGTTAATTTGTCTACATGTGCACAAAAGCTGTTTACTTGGAAGCTTTGAGCGACTTATCGTCACAGAAATTTTCAGCCACTTTCAAAAGATTCGCAGCAAGACGTGGTCATTATAGCGACCTATACTCCTTATAAAGTAACAACGCCCCTAATTTCGTTGATTCAGTACGAGATTTAAGGGCGTTATTCGATAAGCAAAATCATTTTACACAAGAAATATCACACTGAGTGATCACAAATGGAACGCAGTGACATTTTATTCCCTCACATGTCCCATATTTTGGCGTCTTGTGGGAAGCGGAAATTAAGTCCATGAAAGGACAAGATTTGAACAAGATAATAGGCACCTATAGTTTGAACTTCGAAGAAAGTATAAGTATAAGTTATCTAAAAATATTAAAATTTTATTATTATTTTAATTCTTTTTATTATATAAATTACATATCTAAACAAATTATTATACAATATTAAAAACTATAATAATAAAAAAAAACTAAAACTAGATACTTAATTATCATATAGTCCTACTCCCCGCGGTATCGTGCTAAGAACGCTGGCTGCGTTTCCCCGCTGAATGGCTATACTTAGCCTTTGCGCGAGGAAAGAACCAGCCATCTTATCACCAGCAGCAACGACCAGCCGCGGATGGAGTTCCTTTAAGAACTTCACCGCACGTTGACCCCACGGACCGATAGTCTCTACAGCAAATGGCACAAATATGTAGTCATCTCTCAGAGACTCATATTTGCGCCTACATTATTTGCCTAAATTCAAAATCAATATCGTATATTCAAGATCAAGACGAGACAATTCCCTTAGCACCGGGGCACTTCTTGGTAGGTGAACCTCTTGTATTGCTTCCTGATCTTAGATATGAACAATGTACGATCAGTAAAAAATAAATAAAAAAAAATAAAAAAACGCATACTTTAAAATTTCTGGAAACGATGGTCATAAGTGTACCTAATGTTCATGATGCATAGATACAAATAGACACACATTACTCCTAAACTGAAATTGGGATAACTAGCTTTGGTAAAAGAAGGTGGGCTATCATCCACTAGGTGGCATGTGGGTAAAATCGTTGAAAACACCCTGACGTGGACAAGATTACACTGGTTGGTACTATAAACTACAAAAATTCGTTTATTAAGCGACCTGTTTCAAAAATGTGTCTTTCATCAATTATAGAACGATTGACTTTTCTGTTATAATATTTGTTTTCTTTTCTATGTATATTTGACGGTTTTAAATATACATATATATAAAAACTATCCAAAATATGGATGAAATTGTTATACAGTTAGTTTTTTTTGTTGATAAAAAGAAGTTTAATTTTAAAATGTTCTTTATATTTTTTATAAAATATGAAATAAGTAGATAGGGTTTGATATTCTTTCAAATAAAAATAAAAACGTAGCAATATCATTACGATGTTTAGTTTGAGGCTTTTCTTATCATTGATACATGATATCGTTAAGGATTGTCGTCTTTGATCGGCAGTTATGTTTACGCTTATATCAAATACATATTATATATTGTGCCAGGAGAAAGAATTTGCCATTAAAAGAAAGAAGATGTTACATATGCTTTACGCTTTTATCTTTCAAAAAATTATGTTAGACCAAATTATAGAAAGAAACAATACTTACCCTTTGCACATTTGTCGAAATCATTAGTAATCGGCATAGAAGGATCACAGCGGCAGATGTTGTCCTCACATATTGAGTCAGGGTACCCGCATTCCAACACCGTGGTACAAGAGTCACCGTACATCTTCTTGCCGCGTTTAGATGGATCTGAAAAAAAAATGGTTTATATAATATCAAAAATAAATGATGACAAAATAAAAAAAAGTGTGACAATATAAAAAAGTCTGTTTATAAAGTAAGGTGTCATAAAAAAATAAAAAGCCCGACTGTAGTATTCTGACTAATATTTCTATAGAACTCATTTCTTACACGTGACTAGACACAAGATAATAGCGTACATACCGTAAAATGGGGTGAATAGAAAGGATTTCAACTTTTGAATCGAAATTTCAGTATGTTTTTAGCAAATTCCGAAGGTAGCAGTCATCATGTCTTGTGAGTTAAAGTGTCATAAACTGTTTTCAATGAAAGATTAACTTAATTTTCTCGTCATTTATTTAATAAATTACAATATCTGCGCGTTTTCTATTTACCCGCGATATGGGTGAATGGAGTCGAAAAGGGGGTCAATAGAAAAAAATGCTAGGGTTGTCAAAATTTATTTATGTATGTACCTACAACATATACCTATAAATTATATATTGTATTGATAGAATCAGGCGTTACTTTGCGGAAATCCATTATCCGCTAAGCTTAGCGGTCAGCCGCCGTAGAGTCTATATTACCTGAGGATGCCTCGTGTAGAGGCGAAACACGTGTCGTATTATCGTCGATGGTGTGTCTTGCCTGGAATAGTGGTGTTGAGAGTAGTGGTGCTTGGTCTAGTGGTGACGGAGTTAGTGTATGCAATTGAGGGAGGGCGGGAGGTGCGCTTCAATCCAGGTAAGACACATCATTTTATATGTTTAGCGGAAAGTTGCAAAGAAATTTATATTTTTATTTTTTATTATATATTGTAGTACCATTAACTTTAAAAAAATAGAACAGGGATAGTAAATTATATTTTTATGCAAACAATTAGGGCCAATCACCCACACAATTTTTTTTTTAATAAACATAACAGTGAATTTTACCAAAAAATTATGTTTAGTACGTCAGCTAGATTATCAAAACATATTGTAACAACGTGTTTTTATTTTGTCACTTAAATAAAAAATGAGGATGATACAACGCCTTTAAACTTCGGATGATGTCACAAGATAGTACAACAAAATCCCCACTCCAGAGCGCTTTAATGCGCTTTACCAATGTCAAGTTTTATTAATTTAAGGAAGCAAAAGATACGTGGCTAACGGTTTTTGATGATCTAACTGACGGGACTAAATATAAAGAACTTATAAAGTGAAAAATTCTTTCTATATACGTACTTGTGTAATGCAAAAGAATCTAAATAAAATCAACTAAAAACAAAACCTATGTGATTTAACATAATAATCATAAAATAAAGTTAATATTTTTATTAATCATATTACGTACGTAAGTAATTATTATAATATTATTTGGAGCATTCCGAATTTATATTTAAATATTATCATCTAGTAAGTCTCTTAGTATAGCCTCATCGTCTTTATAATATTTGCTCGGTCTTGCAGTCTTCTTTAAAATTATTAAAGGCGCTTCAGGGGAAACATTTTTGTACTTTTGATCATACGTAATATTCTTGCGAGTTTCTAAAAAGTTTTTATTTTCTATTATCTTTATTTTTTCTCTTTTCATCTTCGGTAAAGTTTCAGTTATAACTTCTGCCACAGAATATTCTTCTTCGTTATTTCCTAACGAACAGTTTGATTCACCAGCATGATCAGACTGACTGACGTTGTTTAGACCGGTTTCTGTATTTTCAGCTTCTGCTGTAGAGTTTATTATTATTATATCACTTAGTGGACAGTTTTCAATAGTTAGTTCTCCTCTACATTCCAAGTCATTTTCAAAATATACAGGCATATCTAAAACACTGTCATTGAGGTCTATAATATCATTTCGTTTGTCTGTAAATGCATTGCCTGTGCCCATATTTTCCTCCATCAACATGCTTGCCTTCCTTTTTGTCTTTTTACCGATCCCTTTTCCTTTAATACTTTTGTTTAAGTTTGTTGTTTCTTTAGGCAATAGATTTTCTTTTTCCACTGAATTATCTGGCTTTTTTATTTTTCTTTGTGGTTTTGATGTACTCGGACCCGGTGTTACTTCGGAGTCAACATAATCCTCAGTAGATTCGCTAACACTCTTTCCTGCCACCACGTCGAGTTTTCGCTTTCTTTTTAATTCTTTTACGCCCATAGTACCATATCGCATGTCATTTAGTAAAGTTAGTACAGACTCATCCACTGCTTCCCTATGTCTACTGCTATTGTTCGATTGTGTTGGTATTCGAGATAGCACTTGTGTAGGGTCTAAAGGATAGATACCAGTTTTTTTAAAACCAGCTTTTAAATTAGACTCAGCATTTTCTTTTATTGCCTCCATTAATTTCTTCAGTAATTTAGGGAAGCAACCTTTTGGCACACTTGTCTCATTGCTGCCATCTGTCTTTTTCCACTTAAGAAGTATTTGCCGCCAAGCTGCCTTCATGGGCCTAAAAAAGGCTACATCGAGAGGTTGAGTTATGTGTGTTGAATTACTTGGTAAAAATACAAAATCAATTTGCTGTTCTTTGCAAAGTTTTATCATATCGACCGACAAGTGTGAAGATAAATTATCACCTATTAGCAGCTTTTTTCCCGGCTTATCAGCAAAGAAGGGTATGACGATGGATTGCACCCAATCTTCAAAAATTGTACCATCGAACCATCCTGATGCCGAACGATTATACCTTGCACCTTTAGGCCCGTGAGAAATCCATGTATTATATAAATTTTGTGCTTTGTATACCACGTATGGTGGTAAAATCTGGCCCTCTGCTGACCCAGCTATCATTAAGGAAACACTGGCCTTTGTGTGGTTCATGACACGTTCTGGATACTTAGTGCCGCGTTTCGTAATAATTTTTCTGCGCCCTGGATCGTCAGCGAGATTTGTCTCGTCATAATTGACGATATTTGCCGCTGGAACATCGGCCAAAGATATTTGTAGTTCTTCAAAATATTTTGTTATGGTTTCTGCTGACACGGCAGCTCGAGATCTCTTAATATTTTGGCATATTCGTTGAGAAATTTTATCTTTATGTCTATTTAAAAAACATTGGATGAAATCAGGCCCAGGGAAATTATTTTTGAATCGCTTATGAGTAATCCCAAGCTTATCCAGATACATTTTAACAATATATCTTAAGTCTAGTGAGTCCAGTGGATAGCCCCATTCTGCGCAAACGTTTATGTATTTGATGATATATTCTTCAGTTGTCAACGAAAGTGCCCTTTGCCCACCTTGCGATTTTACTAGTCCTTTGCTGTGGCGATACAAAACTGATGGGTGTATATTGTGTTTGATAGCTACAGTTTTTATCGAATCATTACCCATTAAATAATCTTCTACCGCTTGCTTAAGAACATTTTCGTCATACCTTTTATAGCGCTTGCCTCCAGGTTCAGGTTTATAAATGCGCGGCATTGTCCAAAATAATCTGAACAAACAAAATAAATATTTATTTTCAATACGAATGAAAATATAAACATTAACTAACTATTTCATAAAACTACAGTCACTAGGTACCTACAATCTTCCATAAGTACAAAAAAGTATCAGGTATAATTTTGTGTAGCAGCCCTAGCAATGACAATTCTAATCACCCCAGTCGTATTGCTACTCACCCCTCGTGCACTTCTATTCAGACTTTACGCGCTTCTATTTACCCCATACCTCGATTCTATCCACCCCTCAGGCGTCTTCTATTCACCCCAAACTTATTCAATTTATAGGTAGCATAACTTTTGGACTTATTTAGAACAGAAATCATGCTCAATTTGACTTACCTTTGAGTTTTCTTAATAGTTAAGTAACTAACACTTTGCATAAATTCGTATTGATGTCTGAATTCAATCGTAGTAACGAACAGAAATAAAAGTTTTACGCTTCTCAAATTCACAACCGTTAGGTACTTGATCACTTTGAGACATTATTTTTCGCATTTATGAACAACTTCACTATCATGACGATGTTGCCATAACACAATCAATGTTGCCGTATATAAAAAAATCAAATGTAGCTAATTTCATTGAGCACTGTGAGAGCAATAATGCAACGAACTAAGTTTCGCTTTTTGTTCTATTCCCCCCTTAAATTCTATTCACCCCATTTTACGGTATACATACATAGTTTTACGCCTGTAATCCCCAAAGGGTTAATTCTTTTGTTCTTATTAAAAACGTTACCTCCACACTATACTTTTCTCCTGTATCGTGGGGGCAGTTTACATACATAGATTTCACAAGGAGAAACATCCAGACATTCAGAACATTTATTTGTAGGCCATACAAATACTTGTTCAAGCCACACACACAAGCCACTGCGCCACAGAGCAATCAGCGTCTAAAGAGCAGCGAACTCGGACCACGTTTAGCCAAACCAGTTGGGCTTAGATCACAATCAGCTTACACAATCACAAACTCAATGTCCCATTAGACGCCTTTTACAAAAAGCTAGGTACGTAACGCAGTTGGAATATTCTTTTTGCCCGACAGACTTACAGAATAAGCAAGTAACGTTTATCGAAAGTATATATTATGTATGTATGTCTATTTCTTTCTGCCTGACTTTCAAGCGCTTGATGAATTTTGTTACATGAGGTATTGTTAGATTTATCTTAATTACGGGAGTGACGAGGGCTATATAATATTAAAATATTGCATTTTCGAATACAAAAAATGTAGGGTAAAGTTTTTTGCAATGTTTTTTCTAAATAAACTTTTTAACACAGTCTTTTAACAAAAGAGCTTGTCTTTTATACTCGTAAGTCCCAAATAAACGTAAGACATTTAAGTCCCAGACCAACATGGGACTATATAATACAATACAAATACTTATTGTTTTTTGAGTTGCAAATTTATGAGAGTCTATATCAGACATATTTGTCAGTTGAGGCCTCATATAGTCTACGTTACTAACGTGAACATACACTTAGAATATACTGGCATATATGACAAATCAAACTTATGATCAGTCGAAACCCGACGACCAGTTTAAGAGTTATATGCCGACATAAATACGAACATCTAACGTATATCCAACATACCATACTGTAACATATGTTTAACATACGACTTCCTTTCAGGCTCCGCGACAGTTGGACAAATGGTCTTATTCAAAATAAGAAAACTGTCAATAAATGATCTTTTTTAATTAAAAAACGAAGCCAACCTTCTACGGATGGTACGTGGACTTGTGGCGACTAGGCAATAAGTAAACTTCTTTTTGGACATTTTTATAAATATGAATGATTTGTCTTTGGACTGTTGATGAAATCACTGTAGCTTTGGGTTGTTGTTGAGTCAAAATCAGCCGCTAACAGTGCTTGCAAGGGTGCGGTACTTCACGCTGGGGCAGCTTCTTACTCTAAGCACAAGGTAGGGTAGTACCCGGTAGAGCACGGAGTGCTGCGTCACTATATGGCCTAGTGCTAGAAAAGCCATCTAGAAGCATTATACTCAGTGAAGAGGCGTGTGAAGAGACTTATTGATGACCTTGATTTCATCGAAACCCATTTTGTCAGCATCAAGTACACACAGAGTAGCCAGTCCCTCGGTTTTCTATCAGATACATTTAGGAGAATATCCATAAGTTTAAAATGACTTGAATCCTTTCTCCTCTTTTAAGCAAGCCTTTTGTTGTCAATATTCGACGCATTCGAAACAAATGGTTTAATGCTGAATAAGAATGTCAAATAATGCTAAATGGCATTATGCGTACATCATTATGAACGACGAAGCAAACTATCCAACAAAGCAACCAATCAGCAAAGGATCAAAATAATTTGAAGACGTACGTTTTTCCGATTACAATCTGGGTGTCTTCAGGCGAAAAACGAATTAGGCCCTTGGTTCACTAAGACAGTACACTGACAGGCACATTGAAACTTCTGCGCTCCTGGCCACTCATTAATGTTTAAATTTCGAATGGTATATTTTATAAAACATAAGAAGCTCATAAATTGATCAAATATTTATGACACGAAGTCGCCTGTCAATAGCTTGTTATTACAAGTTGATGTTCGTCATTCGTAGGAAAAATTTATTTAACGCGAAAATATTTTAGGGCATTTATTTTTAAAAGTTTACTCTCTCCGTAAGATTGCACTGCTCGTCTTAAAAATTCTCGTGACCGTGTTTCTCTCCATGATGAAATTTGTGGAGTCGATCCTCTACTTCGATCACTGAGAATAATGAGGCTCAGGCGGCCTATTGAAGAAAACCGGTGCATCACCCACGAGGAGATTAAATGACATTTGGGTATTGGTATGAGCCAAATTAAAAAAAAAACATCAATTTTTAATAGTTAGAAAACTTTGTTGCCGCTGCATTTCTCATGAACTCACCCCAGAATAAAAACAGACTCAAGGTGATTGGTGTAAAAATGTTGCTAAAGTATGACCACAGATGTTCAAATTCTGTCTGGAGATAAAACATAGATATATAGTAACATTTCGGAAAGAAAGCAACAGTGTTCTGCGTTTGTGGCAACAAGCATGGACAAAAAAATTATTGCGTTTTTTTCTCCCTGATGGGTCTTGTCTACACGATCCAAGATGCACAACTATTTATTTGTCCAGTATCTTTGAAAAAGTTAAGGAAAAACGGCTAAGAAGTCGCATCCTAATGAATCCTGTCAATACTTCTGTGCACACCGCGAACGAGACAAAGTCATTTTTGGCTTCTGAGAGGGAGCTCGTGACCAACCCCGCACGCTGTCCAAACCTATCATCATATGATTTATATATTTTTCCAAAAATCTAATATTTGATGAGATGTTTAAAAATCAAATATTTAAGAACATTTACGGAGCCAGAAAATGCTGTGATAGCTTCCAACCAGCACCAATGGTCCTTACGTTTTCAAAAATGATTTAAACAAATTAAAAATTGTTTATAATATAATAATTTAAATAGCAGTAAATAACTATATTATTTTACACAAAATTGTACTATTTATGATTTACTCAAAACTTTCATTGTACCCCATGTTTCTAAAATAAGTCTTCCTTGATGACTAACTGATATTACTGGGTCTTATTTATTTTAATGTTACAAATACATTATAAATGATTCCCTTATTGGTATGGTATTTTACATACCAAAATTGCAAATGAATAAACACCCGGCCTTGATACAATTTTTTCCCGGACTGTTGCGACTAAGGTGAAGAAAGAAGCCTATTTCTTTGTCAAAGGCAAGCAATACTCCTGTAATTGCTCCTCTGAAGTTGCAGCTATTCAACGACGGAGGTTACTTAAGGTAACGTGGACCGCTGTTTGGCCCCTTTTTCTACAAAAAAATGCTATTAAATCATCGAATTTAAAAGTAAATACTGAAATTTTACCAAATTCCGTAGTTGTAGACACATTAAGGTCGGCCGAGCTCAGCGGCGGACAGGAAAGCAGGAGAGTCGCGAGCGCGGCGAGCCAGGCCGCGGTCCTCCTGCAGTGAGCGCCCCGCATTTCGCTCACTATACCTCCGTCACATGTCACGAAAACGCCTGGAATCAAGATATTATTGGTTAACTTACAATAACTCTTTTCAAAATTTATTTTATAATTTTTAATCTTTATTCTACCGATTTCAAAAAGAAGGATGTACTCAATTCGACTGTAGGTTTTTTTTGTGTGTTACCTTATTACCTTTTTTCTGGGTGAACCGATTTCTATTTCTTTTTTTTAAAAGCTGGTCATTCTGATGTGGTCCCATATAAGTTTGATCAAGGTCTGACCAATAGTTTTTGAGTTATTCTTAATAATTTATATTGAATTCGGTTGTACAAAATTTTTAATTTTTAATTATTTTAAATATCACATCCAAACTAGGATTTTGTCTTGCATCGTGGGGTAGTTTCCATACATTAATTTCGCAAGGACAAAAATCCAGACCCGGAACAATTATTTGTAGGCCATACAAATAATTTATCCCTGTGGGATTCGAACCCGCGGTCCTTAGCGCTTCAACTCATAGTTAAACCACTGCCCTACGGAGCCGTCGGAATTGAAGCGATAAACGAACTTGCAGTCCACCTGAATGTAAGTGGCTAGTTCAGGCCATGGACACCTGCAGCCAATTTCAAATAAAGAAAGCTATAGATGCTTTGTCAACTACAACACATAATAATTAAAAAAAAACTGTGTTTGCCAACCCGCCTACCAATCGTGGCAACTATGGCAAAATCTTACCCATGAGGCAAACTATGTTCAGCAGTTTAATTGTATAAGCTGTTATGGATTGATGGATATCTCGAGAACAAACAATGCTATCAACGTCGGACTGGTTTATTTCGATTCCTAGTGCCTTAACCGCCACGGTTGTCAGGCGAATAGGCGATCGAAGCGGTCCCAAACGTCACGCAACTGTGAAATTGCTTATCAATACCGGTCCGAATATTTATTTCGAGCGTTGCTATGATGGTCATACAACCATAAATTTTAACATGACATATCTCTGTCATTAACCGTAACCGTCTTTTGAGGCACCCACTGGACGTAATCTGGGGGCACGGCAGTGCCACCGCCAAGTCGAGCAAAAAAGCGGCACGGCCGTACCATCCTTTTCTCGAAGCAGTTCAGGCCATTTTCGACCCCCTATAACTTCGTTGTGGATAAAACTAGAAGCCTGAAGAAACCAAGCAAACATTGTATAGACATGGTATATTTCAAATTTCATTCAATTTGAACCAGTAGTTTAAGAATTATAACTAGTCGTCAAAGTTTCTTAATTTTGTCACTCACTGACTGACTGATCATCAAAACTCTAAGGCAAATTAAGAATACAATAAGTGTTTAGTGTATAAATTAAGGATAAATTAAAATATTTTGCAATTTGGTCCAGTTTTCTAGATACATCAACTGCATAATTAACTTTGTAATCCCATACAAATATATAGGATTACAAAGTTACATTTGCAGTGAATAAATCTGTGTACCTGTATATGTATAATATAATGGAATAATAGGTGTAGATATGTACCTAGATATAACAATCTACAAAAAGATATGAGATACCGTCAAAAACATAACTTGAAAAAAAGCCAAGTCTCGCAACTCAGTTCTTCTACCGTAAAAAATTGTGAGATCCATGTAATACCAAGTCGGTTAATTTATTCAGTCCATTCTTAAGGGTCTTAAGTTATTACGTAATTAGCTAACCTAACAACATCTTATAGTGATCATATCAATATTAAAAATCTTTTATGTTTTAAATAAATAGATTGTAATAACTTAAGACAGAAGGACCCTTAAGAATGGACTGAATAAATTAACCGACTTGGTGTTACATGGATCTCACAACTTTTTACGGTAGAAGAACTGAGTTGCGAGACTTGGCTTTTTTATAAGTTATGTTTTTGACGGTATAGTAGTAAGTTCTTGAACTAATTCTTCTGTTCCACACAACCCATTTTTAAAATGTTTGTCTCTCTGTCTATCTTTCTGTGTTACCGATTAATGACGATGTCAGAATACTCAATACCCCATATCATTCCGTGGGTGTCGTAAGAGGCGACAAAGGGAAACAAATGGTCATGATGGTCAGCAGCGACCGCCTAATAACGACTACAAATAAAAAAAACTGCGGTTGTCAACTCGCTTGCCAAGCGCGGCAACTATAGCAAATATACCTCCTATGAGGCAATCTATGGGGGAGGCCTATGTTCAGCAGTGGACTTTAATAGGCTGTAACGGTAACGGTTATTGTCTATTTGCCTGTCTGTCTGTCTATTTAGCCTAATCTTCCGAATGGCTAAAACCAAAAGAATAAAGTTCCCTAAATAGTGTTATGTCTTTATTTTATATATATTTTTAGGTTAAGTTATGTATTCCTATGGGCCAAAATTCTCAATTTTTAAGTCTTTGATGCCTGAAATAAAGTTATTGTATTGTATTGTATTGTCAACCGATTGTAATGAAACTTTACTAACGGATACACAGCTATGCAATGATTTTATCTCCTTCAGAGTTATAGATAAATCAAAAAGATATCTTTAATCTAAATACGCAATAGTAATAGATCCTATAAATCGAACCCAATCTGGCTCGCTAGTAGTAAATACTATCTTACGTTCTGTAATAATCGGTTATTCTCTCTTAGACTCAGAGAATACAATGAACAGTATTAATGAGCGTGGTAGTGCTGAGGCTAAGAGTTCGCAGTGAATTTATGCAGTACGCGAGCAACCCGGGATTGTTCTCCGCCGGCTATGTTTGGTCTATCTACTCTCGATTAATAATCAAAATGCAGATACGGTTTCATCTCTGAGAAATGAGATGGAATGACTCGTTTCCAGTAAAAGGATAACCCCTTTTTTACTCTTACTTTTCAGTTTCCTACCTCAACACTCACCATCCTGCATAACAGCATTAAGCAGCTATTTTACGCTGGTATTCTGTGAGAACGTTGTTTCATTCCCAGTTGACCTTACTCATTTGTACTACAGCCATAATATAGCTGCAGCATGGCTCTACCACGTATAAACTAATTGCTTCAAAACTTTCTCAGAAACGAGTGGAGCCAGCTTTGGGACGTTACCGACTAGACAGTAACGAAAACAGACGGTGAACTTCTGTTTAATTTAATAACTCAGAGAGTTAATAAACCCTAACAGATATTACGACATTATTTTATCTTAGTATACACAGTTTTTTTATATGATAAGAGTGACAAACGAGCACACAGTCCACCTCGATTACGAATCAAAATGCAGATGCGTTATCACCCGTAAGGACTAATATCGAACGCCTCGTTTCCAATAAAAAGGGTGTCCGGTTCTCTACACTCATCATACGAAACACAGCAGCTTTAAACTGCTATGCTGCTGATATTTTGTGAGAACGTGGTCCTTTCCCGGTCGAGCCGATCCATTCGTGCTACAATTATACTTCTAATATAGTAGTAATACGTAAGTAACATAGAAAGACAACATTGAATCATATAATATTTGATAGTTAATGGTTTACAACTATTTATTATTATAGTGATTTAAAAGCAGTAGTCTAATTTTCACGTAATTACCGCATAAATCACAACTAACTTTCCTTCGATACGCTGAAAATATACTTTACTATAATTTTCATCAATCCTACATTTTTTTATCATTAACGGTGTTGATTTGTATTTAATTGTTGTCGTTACGGCACATTACTTTGATATTTGTCATAGTTGACAGGACAGGACCACACTTGATAGGCAAGTTGGCAACTGCAGTTTTTTTTTTAATTTTCTACACGATATGAGGAAAACACTGCTGTCTATATTCGAGTTTGTATGGGATGTATTTCTGTATTCTTTTAATTTGATAATAGTGAAAATTTTTTCCTAGATATTTTACAATAGACATCTGCAGTATAACTGAAGTGACCGACAAAGCCCGACTGTGCGACCCCCCCCCCCCCCCCCCAGTTTAGATGCAGATGGCTCAGGACCTTGCTTTGTGGCATTTCTTTAGTGTGACCTATCTTAAGCAGTGGGCTTGAAGGGCTGTAATGATGACGATGAGTCGTTTTACTAACATCAAGTTGTAAAGGCAAAGTCGGGAAGGGACGCCCTAGACGAAGATTTATCGACCAAATCGGCGATACATTGAAAATGGGCCAGATTAGGAGTACCCTTAACCGACGAGCGTGTATGCGTAAATATATGGATGTAAAGGAGGCGAGAGAAGTGTCAGGATCGCGCCACATGGAAGTCCGTAGTCTCTGCCTACACCACTGGGTGACAGACGTGAGTGTTTGTATTATTGTATTATTGTACTCGACCTGTATCACAGTTTGATTAGGTGATAGTTTTTGAATTTAGTGATTCGATCGCATCACATTACATATATACATGCATAAACTCTCACGCCTGTCACTCAAATTGCGGACTTCCATTTTGCACAATCATGACAAACCTTTAACATTTTTTTTACTTCTACATATCCTACGTATACATATTAGCCGACTAAGGGTATTCTAATTTTAATGGGCCAAATTAAGAATGTATCCAAATTCTAAAACCGATTATTTTTGTTTGTGCAAATATTTTCGTTCTGGAAGAGGTCGAACATAAGTTAGCTACTAAATAGTGAGATACTTTTACCCACCTAATAGTTGCGATGCAAATATGAAATAAACTTTTTCAATATATAAAACTCTGAAAACTGCGCTTAGTAATAAATGTAATTATAACTTTTGTAAGCGTATTGAATTACGGCGATCGTGCCACTGGTTACATATTAACTAACTATAGTCCGGGTTATAAATAATTTATTGACAAAGTTTTAATCGCATTAACCCTCATTGTGGCATAGGTGTGTAACAAATAACTATTCAAAGTCGTGTACCAAATAACTATTCAAATAAAAGTCGTTGCACTTTTATTTTATACCTTACCTTTGTTAGGAAAAAGCCATGATAACTCCGGCCCAACCGATCGCTGTGAATTACACAGTACGCGAGCTACCCTGGTTCGAGCCTCGCCA